GCTTGAACCACCAACCTTTCAGTTAACAGACGGACGCGCTAACCGTTTGCGCCACAGAGACAACTATAAAGTTAATAATTTTTTGGTCTGCCTGGTTAGCTCAGTCGTGGAGCATAAGTCTCTGGAGTTGCTCAAACTGAGAGGTAGGTGACAATAAATGAAAGGTTGCATGTCAGCCTGGCTAGCTCAGTCGGTAGAGCATGAGACTCTTAATCTCAGGGTCGTGGGTTCGAGCCCCACGTTGGGCGCATAATATTTTCATCACTTTCTACAATTTCAATTCACTCAAAACTTTTTGATCAATGGACAAAAGGATAAATCGTCCCTGGGTGGTCTTGAACCACCAACCTTTCAGTTAACAGCCGAACGCGCTAACCGATTGCGCCACAGAGACAACTATGAATTTATTAAATTTTTTTGTCTGCCTGGTTAGCTCAGTCTTTGGAGCATAAGACTCTGGTGTTGCTCGAACTGAGAGGTAGGTGACAATAATTGAAAGGTTGCATGTCAGCCTGGCTAGCTCAGTCGGTAGAGCATGAGACTCTTAATCTCAGGGTCATGGGTTTGAGCACCACGTCGGGCGCATAATGTTTTCATCACTTTCTACAATTTCAATTCACTCAAAACTTTTCGATCAATGGAGAAAAGCATAAATCGTCCCTGGGTGGGCTTGAACCACCAACCTTTCAGTTAACAGCCGAACGCGCTAACCGATTGCGCCACAGAGACATCTATGAATGTAATTAAATTTTTGGTCTCCCTGGTTGGTGGAGCATAAGACTCTGGTGTTGCTCGAACTGAGAGGTAGGTGACAATAATTGAAAGGTTGCATATCAGCCTGGCTAGCTCAGTCGGTAGAGTATGAGACTCTTAATCTCAGGGTCATGGGTTTGAGCACCCTGTCGGGCGCATAATGTTTTCATCACTTTCTACAATTTCAATTCACTGAAAACTTTTCGATCAATGGACAAAGGCATAGATCGTCCCTGGGTGGGCTTGAACCACCAACCTTTCAGTCAACAGCCGAACGCGCTAACCGATTGCGCCACAGAGACAACTATGAAGTTATTTAATTTTTTGGTCTGCCTGGTTAGCTCAGTCGGTGGAGCATAAGTCTCTGGAGTTGCTCAAACTGAGAGGTAGGTGACAATAAATGAAAGGTTGCATGTCAGCCTGGCTAGCTCAGTCGGTAGAGCATGAGACTCTTGGGTCGTGGGTTCGAGGCCCACGTTGGGCGCATAATGTTTTCATCACTTTCTACAATTTCAATTCACTCAAAACTTTTCGATCAATGGAGAAAAGCATAAATCGTCCCTGGGTGGGCTTGAACCACCAACCTTTCAGTTAACAGCCGAACGCGCTAACCGATTGCGCCACAGAGACAACTATGAATTTAATTATTTTTTGGTCTGCCTGGTTAGCTCAGTCGGTGGAGCATAAGTCTCTGGAGTTGCTCGAACTTAGAGGTAGGTGACAATAAATGAAAGGTTGCATATCAGCCTGGCTAGCTCAGTCGGTAGAACATGAGACTCTTAATCTCAGGGTCGTAGGTTCGAGCCCCACGTTGGGCGCGTAATGTTTTCATCACTTTCTACCATTTCAATTCACTCAAAAATTTTCGATCAATGGACAAAAGTATAGATCGTCCCTGGGTGGGCTTGAACCACCAACCTTTCAGTTAACAGCCCAACGCGCTAACCGATTGCGCCACAGAGACAACTATGAATTTATTTAATTATTATGTCAGCCTGGCTAGCTCAGTCGGTAGAGCATGAGACTCTTAATCTCAGGGTCGTGGGTTCGAGCCCCCTGTTGGGCGCTTTCTACAATTTCAATTCATTCAAAACTTAATGTTTTCATAATGTTTTCATCACTTACTATGAATTTATTTAATTTTTTGGTCTGCCTGGTTAGCTCAGTTGGTGGAGCATAAGTCTCTGGAGTTGCTCGAACTGGTCGGTGGTGACAATAATTGAAAGGTATCATGTCAGCCTGGCTAGCTCAGTCGGTAGAGCATGAGACTCTTAATCTCAGGGTCGTGGGATCGAGCCCCACTTTGGGCGCATATTGTTTTCATCACTTTCTACAATTTCATTTCACTCAAAACTTTTCGATCAATGGACAAAAGCATAGATCGTCCCTGGGTGGGCTTGAACCACCAACCTTTCAGTTAACAGCCGAACGCGCTAACCGATTGCGCCACAGAGACATCTATGAATTTATTTAAATTTTTTGGTCTGCCTGGTTAGCTTAGTCGGTGGAGCATAAGTCTCTGGAGTTGCTCAAACTGAGAGGTAGGTGACAATAAATGAAAAGTTGCATGTCAGCCTGGCTAGCTCAGTCGGTAGAGCATGAGACTCTTGGGTCGTGGGTTCGAGGCCCACGTTGGGCGCATAATGTTTTCATCACTTTCTACAATTTCAATTCACTCAAAACTTTTCGATCAATGGACAAAAGCATATATCGTCCCTGGGTGGGCTTGAACCACCAACTTTTCAGTTAACAGCCGAACGCGCTAACCGTTTGCGCCACAGAGACAACTAAAAATTCATTAAATTTTTGGTCTGCCTGGTTAGCTCAGTCGGTGGAGCATAAGTCTCTGGAGTTGCTCAAACTGAGAGGTAGGTGACAAAAAAATGAAAGGTTGCATGTCAGCCTGGCTAGCTCAGTCGGTAGAGCATGAGACTCTTGGGTCGTGGGTTCGAGCCCCACGCTGGGTGCATAATGTTTTCATCACTTTCTACAATTTCAATTCACTCAAAACTTTTCGATCAATGGACAAAAGTATAGATCGTCCCTGGGT